AATAATGTTGAGTTCATAAAACTGCACTTAGGGTAATTGTGATTTAGCCATAGATATGGCACATGCCTGTTTATTATGTCACCTCCCGCACCATATGCTCATATTGGATCCAATTTAGGTCACAGTCTTGTCGTACAGACCTTACTTATGGTTCCGACTTGCAGGTAACTGGCGAATTATCGCCCAGCTATTATGTGAGAGTAGTATTGAGCATGATTGTATTACACCCATTATTGTCGTATAGACCTTTTTATTTGGTTTCGACTCTTGTGCAGTATATTACCGTATAGGTCATTGTAGTGACTCCGGCTAAAGTGACTTTTGAGCTATGAATTCAGCCGTACAGACTACCACAGGGGTTCCGACTAACATGTTATATTTCTATGAAATTATTCTTACCTGAATTGCTTACTCTGTTATATCTTGGCATGGCATACATATGAAATTGATTATGTGAAGCATGATGTGAAGTGATATATATATATATATATGCTTATATCTTGATTCTGGGAAAAATTATACATGTTTTACAGCGAGGGGTTAGATATGTTGAAAAATGAAATGATTTTGTAAAACATTTGTTTTTACCCACTCACGTTTTCTGTTTTGCGCCCCTCCAGGTTTTAAGTAAGCTTGATGTTGGTGGCTTGAGGACGTCGGCAGTTCTGACCTATCTAAATAATAGTAGGACATTCCTGGTACTGTATAACTAGTACTTGTCCTACTGGACTGCACCTAGACTTTCTATGCTCTAATTAGGAGTATTTACTATTGTAACTAACTCTTATCACTTCCTGTTAGTAGTGCACTCTAGTAATTCAGTTTTTAGTTATTCATATATTTTCTATCATTATTGCTTCCGCACTGTGCACATGGCTACGTCACTCTCACGTGACGACCAACATGCCTTGATCTCGGTCGGGGTGTGTCACCTTGGGTATTAATAACATCATTAATTATTTTAATAATAAAATAATTTTTTTTTCTAAATATATTCATTTAATGTTAAAAATGTTACAATTAGTATATTTATATTTATGACTAAATTTTTTATCATATATTTTTAGTTTGTACCCATTTTTAATTTGTAACCCTTTTTTAATTTGTACCAATTTTCTTTTCAGTTTTAATTTGAACCCATATATTAATTTCTTTTTGTGCCCATATTTTTTAAAGTTTTATTTGTATTTGTACCCATATTTTTTTTTAAATTTATTTGTACCCATTTTTTATTTTGCCAAATGTACCCATGCTAATTATATGTACCCATTCATGTAATTTTTTAAATTTTTTAATCTTAAAATGTACTCATTCTTAAATATACTAATTTGTTATATGTAAAATGTACCATTTTTTTTATATAAAATCTATTCAGTTTTTTTCTAATCCATTTTTGAACTTATATGGGTACATTCTTTTTTCTTTGATTTAAAATGTATCCATGTCAAGCTTAATCGAAGAAATTTACTAATGTTATCAAGCCTAATATCTTTTTTTTTTTTTTTTGTGATTTTGAAGAATGTACGCATGTTTTGATACAATAATTTTTTGGTTAATTTTGATGAATGTACCCATGTTTATATACACACACACACACTGTCACATCCCAACCCGGGTCCACCACATCCCGAGTCCATTCCACCACCGTAACACGATATTGTCCGCTTTGGGCTTAGCATTCCCTCACGGTTTTGTTTTTGGGAACTCACGAGCAACTTCCCAATGGGTCACCCATCCTATGAGTGCTCTGGCCTCCTTCTCGCTTAACTTCGGAGTTCCTACGGAACCCGAAGCCAGTGAGCTCCCAAAAGGCCTCGTGTTAGATAGGGATAGGAATATACATTTAAGGATCACTCCCCTGGATGATGTGGGATGTTACAATATTTGTCATATCCCGGCCCAGGTCCACCACATCCCGGGCCCGTTCCACCACCGTAGGACGATATTGTCTGCTTTGGGCTTACCATTCCTTCACGGTTTTGTTTTTGAGAACTCACGAGCAACTTCCCAGTGGGTCACCCATCTTGGGAGTGCTCTGGCCTCCTTCTCGCTTAACTTCGGAGTTCCTACAGAACCCGAAGCCAGTGAGCTCCCAAAAGGCCTCGTGCTAGGTAGGGATGAGAATATACATTTAAGGATCACTCCCCTGGGTGATGTGGGATGTTACAATCCACCCCCCTTAGGGACCCGACGTCCTCGTCGGCACACCACGGCCAGTGTTAGGCTCTGATACCATTCTGTCACATCCTGGCCCGGGGCAGATCACTTCTCGGGCCCGCTCCACCACCGTAACACTATATTGTCCTCTTTGGACCCTGACCACGCCCTCACGGTTTTGTTTCTGGGAACTCACGAGCAACTTCCCAGTGGGTCACCCATCCTGTGAGTGCTCTGGCCCTCTTCTCACTTAACTTCGGAGTTCCTACAGAACCCGAAGCCAGTGAGCTCCCAAAAAACCTTGTACTATGTAGGGATGGAAATATACATTTAAGGATCACTCCCCCCCTGGACGATGTGGGATGTTACAATCCACCCCCTTAGGGGCCCGACGTCCTCGTCGGCACACTTCCCGTCAGGGATTGGCTCTAATACTAATTTGTCACATCCCGACCCGGGTCCACCACATCCCGGGCCCCTTCCACCACCGTAGCACGATATTGTCCGCTTTGGGCTGACCATTCCTTCACGGTTTTGTTTTTGGGAACTCACGAACAACTTCTCAATGGGTCACCCATCTTGGGAGTGCTCTGGCCTCCTTCTCGTTTAACTTCAGAGTTCCTACGGAAGCCAAAGCCAGTGAGCTCCCAAAAGGCTTCGTGCTAGGTAGGGATGGGAATATACATTTAAGGATCACTCCCTTAGACGATGTGGGATGTTACACACACACAATAGTATATTTATATTTTAATATTTTTAATCCCACAAATTATGGTTTTTTATTTAAAATCTCATTTATATATACAACTAGAATTTTTAATTTTTAATTTAAAAAATATGGTAACGTACATAAAAATAAATTATCACATTAACTTCAGGGACTTCGATCAAAAATTGAAAACCAACAAGGTTTCAATTAAAGAATATTCATAACTAGATACCGCAACCAAAGTCTCCCTTATTATTATTATCTTGTCAAAATTTTCAAATTTTTACTCAAAAAACTTAACAGGAAGTAAAACTTTTGAATTATTATTTGGCCAAGGGCCGCACTACGGTTGCAAAAGAGTTGGTCATGGGTTCGGAGGACATCTTTGGCGACGGTTGTTATTTGGCCGAGTTGCAAAAACTGAATGGGGCCATACCGCTGTGAAAGCTTCGTGAGAGTGAGATGGGTTAAGCTCTAAGAGATTGCCAATGAAGGAAAGTCGGTTTGGTCCAGGTGGAAGCCTTTTGGTATTTGATGATCTTCTTCCAAGTGAATAATAGAGGATTTGGATTTCATCTGGATCTAAATTGTGAGGATTCTAGAGATCCTCACATCTTAGTCATTCATCGTATATCGTACGGTCAGAAATCATTTGACTTTTTATTTAAAATTAAACATAAATAGTACTTGACGAAAATTGACCGCACGATGTACGATATACTATGAACGATTATGATGTGAGGATCCTCATCTAATAATAAAGGGTATAAATTGAGACACCCGCAAATAGTGACCATAATAGTATACAACTCAAAAATGTCCATTTGGTCTCTCTGTTGAGAGGACAATAAATCTTACATATAAATCGATATGAGAAGTGCTCTTAAGATTTCTTATCCCTATTAAAAAAAGTTGAGATTCCGCTATGAATTCAATAATAATATATGAGAAGTAATCAAACTTACTTATAAACTCATACAAGGTTTATCCTCCTATTAATGTGGGGTTTATTCTCAACGCGTTCTTTACGTGTAGCGACTTTTCAAGCCTAACACTTGGATGAAACAACGGGATGACGTGAAACACATGTGGCCGTAGGCTTTCATACGTGGAACAACCTGCTACGATACCATGAAGAATGTTGAAGTTTCACCATAAAAACAATTAGCAATATAGAAAGTAGCCTAACTTACTAGTAACTCCATGTAAAATCCCTCCTCCTGTCATATGAAATTCATTCTCAAACTTAAATCCTCAAGAGATCCTATATAAACGAAATAGTTTGTTCTTCATTCAAGTGAAAAAGGAAAGGTAAAAGCAGATTAAACTAGGTTTAGGTGTTCAGTTTACTTCTAATTCTTATCTTACTTGCACATCCACTATTTCACTTATATAGGTAAAGACTAGCAAAATACATTTTTATGGACACAAAAATTAAAATTCCAACTTTGATCTCACTTTATTTTTTACTACGAAATGAGAGACTCCTATCTGTACCAAAAAAAAATAAGAGAACTTTAACGAAAAGATCCCGGTACTGTTCACTTTAACGAAAACCCACATTTTTACACTAAAAAATCAATTTTGGTACTATTCACTTTACCCTTTATTTTGTCCTTATCATTAAAACTCAAAGTTTTTAAGCTCTTTTCATTAGTTTTCCTAAAAAATAATGACTTCTTTGTTATAAAAGAAAAACAAATGAGATGAGAACAAAAGATATGTCAATTTTCTCATATTACAATCCAGTGCTTTAACATTATTAGGGTATTCGATCAATTTACATCTTTTGTTGGGTTAAACATTTGGAAAGTTTCTCACATTACAATGTAATGTTTAACATCATTAGGATATTCAATCAATTTGCATATTTCATTGGTTTAAACAATTGGTGCACCAGTTAATATTTTTGACATCTCACATTCGATCAATTTATATTTTAAAAAATTGGTGCAGAACTCAAATTGTTTTCGTTGGGTTTAAACATTTGCTGCAGAACTTAATCTTGATGGTATGAAAACACTTCGGAAAAAATGAAATTTTCAAATTTTTATTTATTTATGTTTTTTTAAAATTGGAAAATTATTATTTAAAACACTTAATGGAAAGTAAAATTTTGGAATTATTATTTGGACAAGGGCCACGCGCACGCAGGCCCTCACAGGAACAAATTATGACGTAGGTTCTAGCACTAGGGCAGACCTTAGATGAGCACCCCTCTCCCAAAGTGCAATGGAGGTTACTAACCTAGTGTCACGGGCCATGTGTTAAAAACAAAGAAAATGCCCAAGACATCATATATCTAAGCCCATGAAGCCATGTCTTCATGGAAGCTTCTGGAACGTCCCGGAGAAATCAAGAACGTGGCGGAGCATTCAAGATAATCTAGGGCATTCCAGAACATTCCACACAAGTGTACATATTTAAGCCTCGCCTAGAATAATCTAGATTAGGCAAGTTGTATCTAGAACTATGCTAGATATTTTTGGATGTAAGTAGGGGATTCTAGAACCCTCCATTGAGGAGGTGACTTAGGCCTATAAATAGGAGGTAAGGCCATTTGGCCAAACCATCCAAGAATTGTAAGCAATTGTAAAGTTCTCTTAAGTTTCAATACAAAGCTTCCTTTCTCCCATCTTCTAAGTGATCTTAGCATTTTCCAAGCTATCTTAGCTTTCTTTGTGATTCGGTCCGGGGAAGCGAGGCTTTGAAGGCTTACTTAGCTTGTTCGTCGAGGTATTCAAGTCTAAGTGCCGCACGGGCGGAAGGCTTAAAGAGTCATCCCGTGACAGCTGGTATCAAAGCCTAGCTCGTGAATCACTTGAAGGAAAGTAGGATATGGCAAGTGGAGAGATGGTGTCCGGAGTCTCCGACCTAAGGGAGCGTACTGCCGAGGTCCAAGATGTTGCCAAAAGCAAGCCAAAGTTAAAGGACTTGCAAGCATCGATGGAGACCATGGAAGAGCGACTCGAGAAGGTGGAACGAACCATACTCGAGTTCGATACTCGACTTGATGAGGACGTTGTCGACAAGGAGGAAATCCAAACCATGGTGGACAATGGTAAGGATGAATTGCGTGGCTTGGTGGAAGGGCTACGAGATGAAGAGCTCCTTGGGGCGCTCTCAACACCATGGCAGACAAGATGCGGAGGGAAGTCCAGGTTCACCTTGACAACATAGAGGCAAGGTTTGTGGCGCTTCAAGAAGAGATAAAGGACACAAGGGAACTTAAGGGAGATGTGGCGTTTTGTAAAAGAAGCAGTCCGTGAAGCAATTCGTGCAAGGGCCAAGGGAAATCAAGGCGTTGGACTCCAAGGTAATCGATTCCTTTAAACCCAAATCCTATAATGGGAAGAGGGAAGCAAAGGAGCTCGATACATTCGTGTGGAACGTGGAGCGATACTTCAAGTACCTGAAGCTTGAAGATGACGAGTCCAAAATCTCAACGGCAACCATGTTCTTAGCTGACAATGCCCTTATGTGGTGGCGTCGTCGGAGCATGGAGATTGAGCAAGGTACGTTCTCCCTCACCACTTGGGATGAATTTAAGAAAGATCTTATGTTGCACTTCTATCCCCAAAATGCCAAGTACGAAGCCAAGGAGAAACTAAGGTGGCTCAAGCAAACGGGGAGCGTCAAAGACTATGTCAACGCCTTCGTGAGCTTGTTATTCGAGGTGCCCAACATGTTAGAGGAAGACAAGCTCATGTACTTCATGAGTGGACTGCAAAATTGGGCAAAACTCGAACTACAAAGGAGACACGTGCAAACATTGTCTGATGCCATTGCCGCTGCCGAATCCTTGATTGAGTTTAAATCAAGCCACCAAGGTGATTCCAAGTCCACGGGGAAGAAGGGTAACCATGAGAGAAGTGGGGGAGAACATAAGCCGAAGGACAAGGCCGAGACAAGCAAACCGAAGGAGAAGAAAGCCGATAAGCATGACAAAGGCAAGGGTAAGTCTTGGCAACCCACTTGTTACCTATGCGACAGCCCTCACATGATGCGAGATTGCCCACAAAAGAAGGCCCTTAAGGCCATGGCTTTCAAGGAGGACAAGGCTGAAGAGAGTAACGATGCAACGATGGGATGCATCCGTCTACTGAATGCCATCCAGACAACCCTCCCACAACCTAAGGCTCAAGTTGGGGGAGGATCATTGTTCGTCGACGTCAAGACTGGTGATAAGACGACGCGTGTGTTGGTGGACACGGGAGCAACACACAACTTCATGACATCGGAGGAAGCCACAAGGCTTGGCCTCCGAGTCACAAAGGAGCCTGGTAGCGTGAAGACGGTAAATTCCGCCGCCACCCCCATTGTTGGAGTTGCGCGTAATGTGCACGTAGACATTGGCACATGGAAGGGAACGATCGACTTCACCGTAGTCAAGATGGACGACTATGGCGTAGTCATTGGGTTAAAGTTCATGGACAAGGTACGAGCCTTTCCCATTCCCTCTTACAATATCTTCTGTATCCTAGCCGACGGGAGACAACCTTGCCTGGTGCCATTGGAAAGGCAAGCCAAGAAGTGTACCCAACACTTGTCGGCAATTCAATTTGCCAAGTCTTGGAAGAAAGGCGAGGCCACATTTCTTGCAACCCTAATGTTGAATGAAGGGGAGGAGAAGTACTAGCCTTTGCCGAAACAAGTGGAAGACGTCCTTGTGGAGTTTGCGGACGTGATGCCTAAGGAACTGCCAAAGAAGTTGCCACCAAAGAGAGAGGTCGACCATGCGATTGAGTTGGAGCCTGGTGTTAAGCCTCCCTCCAAATCACCTTATAGGATGTCGCCACCCGAGTTGGAGGAATTGGGGAAGCAACTCAACGAGCTACTTGATGCTGGCTACATCCAACCCTCCAAGTCCCCATATGGTGCACCCGTCTTGTTCCAACGCAAGAAAGAAGGTAGCCTAAGGTTGTGCATCGACTATAGAGCATTGAACAAGATTACCATCAAGAACAAGTACCCACTTCCGTTGATCGCCGACTTATTCGATCAACTTGGTGAAGCAAGGTACTTCACAAAGTTAGATCTTCGATCGGGATACTACCAAGAGATGATAGCCCCTGGAGACGAATCGAAGACGGCGATGGTGACCAGATATGGAGCGTTCGAGTATAAAGTCATGCCATTTGGTCTGACCAATGCCCCTGCAACATTCTGTACATTGATGAACAAGGTATTCCATCCTTATCTTGACAAGTTTGTCGTGGTTTACATTTGATATATCGTTGTCTATAGCAAGACATTGGAGGAGCACGTCAAGCACTTGCGCATAGTGTTCAAGACCCTTCGGGAGCATGAACTCTATGTCAAGAATGAGAAATGCTCCTTTGCCACAAAAGAAGTAGAATTTCTTGGCCACAAGATAAATGAGGGGAAACTTATGATGGAAAATGGCAAGATCAAGGCCATTCAAGAGTGGGAACCGCCGACCAAGGTACCAACACTACGATCCTTTCTGGGGCTAGCCAACTACTATCGGAGATTCATAAAAAGGTATTCAGCCATAGCAGCACCCTTAACAGACCTTCTTAAGAAGAACAAGGCATGGGAATGGACGGACCGGTGTCAAGAGGCCTTTGAGAGGTTGAAGAAGGCCCTAATGGAGGAGCCTGTACTAAGGTTGCCCGACCTTAGTAAGCCATTCGAGTTGCACACTGATGCTTCCGACTTTGCCATAGGAGGAGTGTTGATGCAAGAGGGACATCCGATAGCCTATGAAAGTCGCAAGCTAAACAATGCCGAGAAGAGGTACACGACCCATGAAAAGGAGATGACCGCCATCGTCCATTGCCTTAGAGTTTGGAGGCATTACTTGCTTGGTACCTCATTCATCATCAAGACGGACAACGTTGCCACTAGCTACTTTCAAACTCAACAAAAGCTTACACCTAAGCAAGCAAGGTGGCAAGAGTTCTTAGCGGAGTTTGATTACAAGCTAGAGTACAAGCAAGGAAAGGAGAACGTGGTGGCCGATGCTCTAAGTAGATGAGTAGAGTTAATGGTTACGGTACTCAAGCCGCAAAGCCCTCTCTTGGGCCGTGTCCGAGAAGGTTTATCACATGACGTCCAAGCCAAGAACATTGTGGAGTTTGTCAAGGATGGGAAGACAAGAAGGTTTTGGCTTGAGGACGGCTTGCTATACACCAAGGGCAAGCGGATCTATGTCCCAAAGTGGGGAAGCTTAAGGAAAGAAATCCTTAAGGAGTGCCATGACTCAATGTGGGCAGGACATCCTGGCACTCACCGCACGTTGGCTTTGGTGAGCGATGCTTATTATTGGCCACAAATGCGGGATGATGTAGATTCATACGTGAAGACTTGCCTTGTGTGCCAACAAGACAAAGTGGAACAAAAGCAACCGGGAGGACTGTTGGAACCACTTCCCACCCCATCAAGACCATGGGAATGTTTAACCATGGATTTCATCACACATTTGCCCAAGTCTGAATGGATGTGGATCTATCTTCGTCGTGGTCGATAGATTCACCAAGTATGCCACTTTCATACCCGCACCTGTGGAGTGCACAGCCGAAGTAGCTGCACGCTTGTTTCTAAAGCACGTGGGTGAAGTATTGGGGTGTTCCGAGGAGCATAGTCAGTGATCGAGATGCTCACTTCACGGTAGATTTTGGAAAGGAGCTCTTCAAACTACTTGGCTCGAAGTTAGACTTCTCCACAGCTTTTCATCCCAAAACTGATGGACAAACGGAGCGGGTTAATGCATTGTTGGAGACTTATTTGCGGCATTATGTTAGTGCCAATCAACGAGATTGGGCTAAGTTACTTGATGTTGCCCAATTCTCTTATAACTTGCAATGTTCGTAGTCGACGGGGAAAAGTCCGTTCGAGTTGGCTATAGGGCAACAACCCTTGACCCCGAACACGGTCGTGACTGGCTAACGGGGAATAGTCCAGCCGCTTTCAAAAACCGCTAAGGAGTGGCAATTAGCCCACGAACTTGCTCGAGCTCATTTGGAGAAAGGCTTCAAAGAAGATGAAGAAATGGGCGGATCGCAAGCGAAGGAATGTGGAGTTCCAAACTGGCGACCAAGTCTTTGTGAAGCTCAATGCGTCTCAGCACAAGAGTACTCGTGGCTTGCACAAGAGCTTGTTGCGGAAATATGAGGGACCATTCCCTATCATCAAGAAGGTTGGCAAAGCCGCGTATGTTGTGGAACTCCCACCCCGTCTCAAGTTTCACCCGGTGTTCCATGTGAGCAACTTGAAGCCTTATCATGCGGACGATGAGGAACCAAGTTGAGGTGAGTCTCATCGAGCACCCCCTT